CCCCAGACCAACAAATAAAAACAACACCTGAAAACCACAATACATCAGCCTGAGAAAAACAACAGGTAGTGACCTGAAGAATGACGAGTAGTAAGACTATGTGTTTGAAGTACAGCATGCCCGGAAACCCTCTTCTAAATAAGGCCCCTAAATTACCCTTAGGGTCCATGTACCTAATAATCGTATACCTACCCAAAACCTGGTCTACAACTCCGCATACCAAAGCTCCACGTACTCAATCATTGAGTACATGGACCCTAAATCCTAAACTCTATATACCCACAAAATACACCTATAAGCTCCTATGTATCCGTTGTCAAGGGACCTAATTTTTGAGCACTTGGACCCTTAGGGTTATAGTCCCCCTTAAGTAGATAGAATATGGTCTTGGGTATATGATATAACTATTACAGGGTGGGGGGTCCTCCTCATGGAGACTATACAAGTCTCAGGAGGGCGCAGGTGATCACAGCGATCCGGCAGCGGGCCCAGTTGAAGCTGCCATGACCAGGCGCACCCTGCACCTTCCACTCCAACTAGTTGGTAAATGGAGGTTGCATAGGGGTATATGGGGTCTTATAGGGATTATACAGGAGAATGGAAAAGAACATTGAAACTACTATAATCGGGTTTAGGGTTTCGGTGCAACGCATATCTAATCCAGGAGGCAGGGGGCCTGAATATGGGGGGGCAATATGGGGAAGCTCAATATGAAGCCTATGTGTTCTATATGGGAACATCTGTGGTCTCCTCTAGAAGACACCCCCCCTCCACTTTCCGGAACAAATTCCCACTTTGGCTTACATGAGGGCTGCCAATACCTGGATACGTCTGGCTGCTGTTTTCCCAATTGTATGGTCAGGAGTCCTCGGAGGGCATATGGAGATTCAATCTGATACTGGAGTCCCGATTTGAAGGATTCGTAGGATGCGTTTGAACCATTCCCTTTACGTGCTGCAGGGGTGCAGGTTGTGAGAGCCCTTTGGGCGTTGCACGCCTGTTTGGAAGGGATGTTGCCTGTGCTTGCGATACCAACAGCATATGTCAACAATTCAAAAGATGTACCTGCCTAGAGGCTGATAGGTATTCAATGGGGCTATGTTGGACCTCTTTAAGGGGTATGGATTACTGGATTCCAAATCGATTCCTCAAATTCGCGTTAGCCCTGCGAAGCATGGTGTTGTTTGGCTGGGGGTGACAAAGCAAACTGAGCTATAGTCTAAACTCCTAGTATCCCCCGTAATCACCCCTTTAGTAACCCCCTAGATAATCCCCTATATATTCCCCTTTAAGGAGTTTAGACTATGGTTCAACTAGGGCCTCTTCAGGCGCTAAAGTGCCGGCAGACTTGAACCCTCACTGGTGCCAGACGCTAGAACAATCTGCGCTGCAGCGCAGGGTCCGACTTCCAACCATGACGGAGGGGATGAACTAAGGATGTGTTCTCATGTGGACTTGGGAATTCCATTGTGGGGCACTGTTGAATTCATCTTTGGGGCCCTCTCATGTATCTTCCTTGCTAGTACTGCGGCAACAACCACTGCTCAAACCATCGTTCAGAATCGTATCTTTTGACCACTATATAGATACAGTAAATATGCCAGCCCAAGCATAGCGAGAACCTTGGCATACTGTCATGATAAGAACCCGCTGGAGGGTGGCTTTACTGGGATTGCACACAGATGTCATGGTGCCTCGACATCGAGGGTTCCGGTCGGCATGTACTGTCTCCACCCTCAAGAAGGAGCCCAGCGCAATTCGTTGAAAAAAACCTCCCGCTGGTCAGGCTTACTTGTGCCCATATATAGAATGTACACAGCCAACCCACTCTGACTGAGCGGTTTGCGCCTGCCACAGATCCAGATCCTGCAGCGTGGCAAGTCTTCCAGTAAAGTTGCAGAAACTCCGCCATCACGCCGCAAGCAAGATGGATATTTGATATTTGGTCATCTTCATGAAAACCTGCAAAGGAGAGACTGAAGGCCTGCCTCCATACTCAGCCCGCAGCAGCTGTTGCCATGGCCATCCAAAGCTTTTGGAGGGGGGGGGAATATTGGAATAATATAAGGTAATATAGGTTATATAGGGATAATGGAAGAGAAACATGAAACTCCTATAATGGGGTTATATAGGGTAAAATAGGCTTAGATTGGGATATTGGAAAAGAAAATGGAAACGACTATGATGGGGTTATATAGGTTAATATAGGGTTATTAGGGATAATGGAAAAGAAAATGGAAACTACTACCATAGTCTGTTGGAGTATGCATTAAGGTTATCTTGGAGACTATAGCAACTTGACTGTTGCATCAGAAATCATTACGGGCTCTATCTTGGGTGGCGTGAGCCTTAGTGTGTCGGAAGGCCCCTTGGCAATTTACGTCAGCAAATTCTCTGCATGCTGGCGGGTTGGGCGGGTAGGGGTAAGCACCATATGAGGTGAATGCCGAACCAGCTTTTTGAAGCGTGGGTGGCAGGATATGGACTGGAGTCCAAGTAGCGGGAGCAACCATGAGCGGTTCACAACTTAACTTAACTTGGCATAGCCACGTGCGCATGAAGCGACAGGTGGAAGGAGAAGCTGGAGCAAGAAGTCAGCGGCAGTCACGGTCGAAGGACTGTCAATAGCCTCAAGGGCCCCAGAAACATCACAGCCCCGTAGCTTCTCTAAATCGATAGTCATTACTTAAGGGATGTCATAGGGGACTATTTTAGGGGATGTTAACAGGATATACTAGGAGTTTTGAATTTGGCTCACAGAACGCGGTCCCTGAACTAATTTGACCTCCGGCGTGAACGCTAGGGCAGCAGGCAGCTCAAGCTGGAACAGTCCATCTTTATTCTAGTATTCCCCTCATAAACCATTGACCATAACCTAAAGATTGAACCCTGAACCCTAATCTGGCTGTCCTTATTGAGGGCATACAAAGTCGAGAACTTCAGAGCCAGATTCTTGGCATCCAGGAAGCCTTCCGACCTGATCATCCATGAGATCCATACGGTTTACGGTTTAGGATTTCAGGGCTTTAGGGTTAAGCGTTTTAGGGTTTTAGGGAGGAAGTTTCTCAAAACGGAAATACTCAGAAATCCCTGCAAAGGGGTTATGGGAATCTAAAGGGCTAGGGGCAAGGCTTCCCAATTCAGCAAGTCCTATATGCAATTGTAACGTAGGCATGCGCGCATAAGGGTCCTGCTCTGCAAACTACCACATCGCCTCACTGTCGAAAACGGGTTCCCCTAGCGAACAAACAGGAGTCCTTGCAAAGCGGGACCACAAACAAGCCACCTAGATTCCTAGATGTTAATAGTCCCCCTTAAGTAGATAGAATATGGGGTACATGGTGATCTTATTATGAAATACCCAAAGCCATATTCTCTCTACTTCAAGAGGACTATAAGGCATCCATATGCAAGTTTCTTGCCACAACCTTTTACGTTATAGGGTTTGCGGTCCAGATTTGAGGATGTATTGTGTATGGTGTTAGGTACAGAAATTTCGGCAACAAAAACAGATCGCCTGTCTAACCTCATGCTGCTGGGAACTGGGTCCTTTGCTTCAGGGTTCTGAAATTCCTGACCAACAACATGAACACTGTTATGATTGTGCTTGGTGACATGGAAGTTGATCTTGAGCACTTCTATGTCCAAAGGCTTGGGAGGCCGACTCTCCTAAAGAAAGTTGCAGCTCAGCATGTGGCATAAACATGTTCTCCATGATGAGCATGAAGTCGGGCACCATCACCGTGATTGGTCGGAAAAGTGCCTCCGGCCATGGACGAACGAAAACGGCCATGTCTCATGATGTGGATTCGCCTGTGGTCCCAATACTGTACTTGCCCTGATGTTCCACCAGCCCTCCACCCAATGTTCAGAGACTGAATGATCCAATCAAGTAGTAGTTCATCGGTTAGGCCCCCGAAGGGACAACCAATCTATTGGCTCTGAACTTCCCCCAAGAAGCGATGCTTGCTTATATGACCTACAGTCTAAACTCCTAGTATCCCCCTTTATGAATACTCCCTAGTATAATCCCGTACATAACCTCCTAAGGATTTTAGACTGTGGCTCATATACACACTGCAAAACCTCGATGAAAACCTCACCTTTACCTTCCAAGCCCCATCCTGATGATGAAAACAAGAGCCTACTCCTAAGGAATCTGCATGCCCTCTGCAATATGGGGTTTCCGAAAATTGGGGGTACCGTTATTGGGATCCCAAGAAAAAAGGATTAGAGTATTTTCGGGTCTATATGGGAGTCCCCCTGTTTTGGGATACTACAGACTATATTACACAACCACTAAGTGAATGGAGCCTTCAATCCCTCTGGCAGTTCTGAGCGCCCCAAGTAGCCCGGGTTCATCGTGATGAAGACGCCAACCTCAAAAGAAGGACAATTCTCACTTATCCGCTGTATAACCCCAGAAACCCCATTTTATACTACCTGGATACTCAGGATCCGTTGGGCTGGATAATATCAGCAGAAGCAACAAAAATAGATGATGATAGTAGTAGTACTACCCACAAAATGACAGCATGGTCACTGCAATGATGCGGATGATTATTAGTTTTAAGGATGAACAGCTATACAAATTACCAACAATAGAGACTTAGCCAGTCCGAACTGAAGCGCCGCCATGCTGGTATGCTACTCTGGGGACTTGGCTCCTCTGTCCAAATGAATCTCGTCCCCCTGCAGGAAGAACCTGTCCAGTCTGTTCCTCAACGCGTCGCACACCGCCTGGTGGAAGCTGACGTGACTCGGAGTCTTGCGCTCTTGCCATGGTGTTTCTGCATGCCTAACTTGACAGGTGCAGTGGCATCCTGAAACCTACTGCATCACATACTGTACTGCTTGATTTGAACGCAACGATCCTTTTAACACGGAGAGGGCCGCGATCAGTCAGCATCTGCAGAGTTGTGACTCAGGCTTGTGACACCAAGCAGGCTGCAAAAGTCAAAGGCACGGGGCGTGCCGGCGGCCAGATCTTAGAGTACTCTTCAGAGGCTAAGTGGTGTGGCAGTCCGATTGGCCATCCACGCAGGAAGCCTGGCAAGAATGTTGTTTTTGATGATGAAGATGATGATGAAAATGATCATGGTGATGATGAAGACTTCCAATGGCTGCATGTTCTGCTAACACAAGCATACACAGCAACAAGGCGGACGTTATCGAGAGCCTTTAGATCCGAACATCAAGGGAGGCTAGACCATGGGACTCCATCGCCAACAGGATCTGAAGGGCGTCAACCCACACCCTGTATAGAATAGGGTCTTTGAATATAACATGCTACAGGTATAAAAAGAATCCAAAGGAATTAGAGTAGACAGGAACCAACCCTCAAAACGCAGAAGCTCTTGCATTGCCGCGGCGCCTCAGCTTGCTTTGGTCAATTTGCCTTCAGCAAGAACATCTTTGTCAAAACTGCATACCGAAGCTTGGGCTTTGCCACTGAGCCCCATACGCATGTAATCCCCTCCCCTAACCCAATGTATTACAATATACCACATACTGGGAGAATTTAATATTAGAGGGTGGGGGTGGGGTTAATACTAGGTGGAGGGGAGTATCGCTCGCACTTCTTGTTTACCCTTACAATTATCATCATTGCTATTATCATCATAGCTGCTATTCCTCTATCTGTTCTTATCTTACAGCGTTGATTATGGAACCTGGTGCGTCAACCTCCTTAAGCACCACTGGGCTAATTACATTTCAGGGTTTAGGGTTTTTTTTTAAGACGCCTCTTTTACTCACTTAGCAAGCAAATTCCAGCACGGGAAGGCGGCCAACAAGCTTCACACATCGCCTCTCGTGGAAAAGCACTCGGTGTTCCTACCCTTCCTGCTGACTTTCAAGGAACAGCTTCTGAGCCTCAAAAGCTTCAAGCACCCAACTTCCGTGCTTCCGTTGCACGTAGGTTGACGAAATTGCTCCTAGGGACCATTGGTTATACAAATTGATCCCCGGAATACTGCTTAGAAACTCTGACAAGTGAGCCACATTGACATGCGCACCCGAAAAACGGTTTAGGGTTCAGGGTCTTTCTCATCAAGCTTTTGTTGCTTAGGGAAGCGGTGCCTTTGCAATGTTTATACACCAGGTACACCATGGTCCTTTCCATGTAGGCCCCTGTAGTAGCGACCGAGGTTCCGAAGCGACACGTTGACGTGATGGAACTTGGAGTAATTCTTGGCCTCACAAAGGGGCTTTCTAGAGTTTATTACCCCAAGATCGCATGATCAAATGGAGAAGAACACGGAAAATTGAATGGAAACAGGGGCGATAGGTCTACAAAAATCAGGAGCCCCTTTTTGGATCAGGGATGACTTTTTGGAGTCCTTGCAATTGGGATTATAATAGGCTTGGCCTGGGGTTTGGGGTTTGGGTTTTTTGGGGTTTAGGGTTGAGAGTCGGGATATCAGGGCTCGTATTCATAGAAAAGATTCTTCTAAAGTTCATCATGCATGGTCCCTAAGTCAACAGCCTGAGAGGCAACTACAGGTTGAAAACCTACATAACCACCAAAAAAAGCTATGTACTGCTTATATTTGAAGTCCAACTTGGGACTTCGTACCTGCTTAAACTATGGCCCCGCAATTTGAAGGGCATGGACCTTCGCAGGTTGAATCCAAATATACACATGTAGATTTGGGAGGGGTTTAGGGCGTGGGGTCCCAAACTTATGCGTTACATCGAAGTTATATAGGGTTTCTGTAGGGTTCAGGGTTTGGAGAGTAGGCTTTAGGGTTTCGCAAATTATGGGTACTTCTGGGAGCCAATGGAAGGACTATAGTAGTTTGGAGTCCATAGTGGCTACTTATAGGCAATTTCGGCAAACTACCATATAGATATATGTATACATGACAATGCGTGTTCCTATCCCCCTGACTGAGACTCCTGGATACATCACCTGTAGAATCCTCACCATATACGTATAGCGCCAAAGTAACCCTAAACCCGAAGGGTACCCTATTTGAGAAACACCCGGTCGGAACTGCGAAGATGAAAACCACGCGGGGCGTCCATGGAAATATCCCGAAACCCTAAACCATATAAAGACCCCCAGAGTCTCATGGGGTAGCTCTAGACGCTAGCACCAAGCCTTTTAATCCCTACCCCAAGATGGCAAAGGTCCCTAACGGTACACCTAGTTGGAGAGAACTCCACAGAGCTGCTACTTGGGGAGCCCAAAAGAAATCATTAACCTAAACCCCGGATGATAGGACTCATACATGGGCCGAGCTGATTGCCAATATCATTTTGTACCATGGGTATACAAGGAATCTGGAGCCATGGTATTGCTAATCATCTAGGCCCCTGTAGCAGTAGGATTCAGGGCCGGTTTAGGGCTTGGAGTTTGAGACTCTGCAAGGCAGGCGACGGCGATGCTGTTGAATACCGAGGAATTCTCTGCGGCAGGATTACCTGAGCATTAGGGCTTAGAGCTTGGGCCTTGCGGTTTAGGGCTTAGGGAGCAAGTACCTGGTAATTACACTGATGAACGAGATCCCGTTAATATCCCACATCCAGTTCCTTGCTGCAAATATGCACCCAAACTAACATGGAAGCCCAAGAAACAGTCGGGATCCGCCTCCCTGATCCAGATATCCTGGGTCCCGAGAAATCGCGGAAGGTTTGGGGCTTTTCGTTGAAGCTTAAGGTTTTAGGTGGGGCGTAAAAATGTGGACCTCTAAGGTTTGGGCCTACAGATTGGGAGATGTTTGGAGTCTAGGTTCTGGGTGTAAAGCCTCTTTGGAAAGCTAGGGTTTGTTCAGCTTGTTGTTACAAACGTTGCTTACAGATTTTTCAACGGACCGCAGATACGCAAAGATCGAGCTTATGCCTTCTTGAGTTTCAGCATGCATCAACATGAAAAAAATATTTCTGCAATGAGCCAGGTATCCTCAATATGCCCAGCAGACGGCTCACCGAAGTCGAAGGTGGTGTAGTACTTTCCTCATAGGACTTTCTTCTGAAAGTCGGGGTGCGCTGGGGAATACATACATACATACATACATACCTACCTACGTACGTACGTAGATACATACATACATACATACATACATACATACATACTGGACACACCTGCCAAGGATCAGGAGGGGAAGGTTAGGCATAAGGATTGCCGTGTTCCTGGAAGCTCCGTAATCTTGAGCCGTAGCGGTTAGGCGGACCCCCGCCCTTCAATAGTGGTAGAGAAGTAATATACGAGGACCCTAATAGAATCACCAGTATCCCTCATAGTCACTATCAATTACTGAATGGGGCACCTAACATAGCGGCCATGAAGCAGCCAAAACCCTAAACCCCAAATCCTAGACACTAAACCCTACATCCTAAACCCTAATCCTAGACCCTAAACCCTAAACTCTAAACCCTAAATCTGGCGGTCTCTTTTGGTGGGGCTGATCCATGAGCTGCATCTCCTCCCTTGAGACGCGACCATCTAGCAACATCCTTGGTCACCTCAACTTAGTGGTTCTTAGTAGGAAATCTGGGAAGATAATCCCTATAGCGTCCCTATAATATTATGACCTTATTCCCTACTAAGAACGATTAAGTCAATCTACGTCCAGAAACAAGATTAGCAGGAGACAATTGTCATGATGGGCCGCAATAGCCTCAAAGCATCCTGCCACTAAGAGATTAGGGCATACTTCAACATCTGTATCCGTCTCTCCGTCTATGACATGTATGTATATATGAGCATACCTATATATTTTCGCGGCTCGGGGGATGTGTTGCCCATGCTTTTGCAGGTCGAAGTCGTGCAGCCGCCACTCCACCCCTCAGGATTTTGTTCACCAGGCGCCTGTGCTCCACATGGATATCCGTAACGATTTATGGCAGAGACTTTGTAGATATGCCCAGGTATGCCTGCAACGGATATCTAAGGGCTCCTCTGTAGCCGTTTCGAAATCCCTCGTCAGCAGGTGTTACAAGTGGCTTGGATGCATGCCGGCTCCAAATTTGACAAGAGGCGAAAGAATGGCAAGCCCATAATCCAAAGGTCTCCAGCATCAGTTTTTGATTCACCAGTATCCATCATCAGCAGCTCGCACTGCTGCACCTTCGCAGATGTTGAGTACCGTTGTTGCCCAACTGTGTGCTTCCCAGCGTGATTCCCAGCAGTGGGTGTAGAAACAATGTTCATCGGAACAAGTCGGAACAAGCTGTCACACAACTTGTGCCACCATACCCAACGCAGCCACCCAAACACTTAAAATCTCATCTAGGGTAGGTTTGGGGGGCCCTATCAAAGTTGAATTCTTATGGCTTTCTAAGGGTTGTCTAGGGATTAAGGTACAGTAGTGAAATTTACAAAATGTTCAAACCTACCCCATCCTAACCCTGTTACCCCCATCATAGGCCCTGAGCCCCCCAGTGAGTGCATGCTTACGGCTTGTGCCTTTATGAACGGCTTCTGCTTGAACAGCAGGCGCCAGGGTGCAGGCATTATGCCTGCAAACTATTTGAGCTATAGTCTAAA